TGAAGCACTATGGAGGGATCTGGACAATCGAGCTTGAGATTGGCTTATTCTTCCTGAATCTTACCACAGTCACTGCTGTGAAGAAGGCATGGGCTGTGACAAGGAGGAGATGGAGAGTGTGGATGTGGGTAGGATCTATCTGCCTCCAAGCAAAGAGTACATGGTCCCAGAGAGGTCAGATGGAGGAACCCCATATTGTGAACTAGGCCCCCAGCTCCTTCCACTCCATATTCCAGCCCAAATGCAGCTGCACTTAATAAAGGAGACTTTAATAAGGGGTGATTAACCTAGGTTCCTTTAAGGGTATTTGGGGTTCTTTCAATTTTCTGTAACCACTTGTTATCGTAATGTTTGGAAAGGAAGCACAAGCCTTGAGAAGTTTTGTAAAAAATGCCCTTTGTGGAAGTCCTCTGGTTTGCTCTTGTCTGCCTGAATTCGTTTTAAAATAGCTGTTTAGTCAGTACATACCTCTTCAGTCTATCAAATACATTTAACCACACTAAGTTAACCATAATTCCACTTAACTTTAACAAATCTCTTACAGTAATACTCACTAACCAATCAATACACATCAATGTAATGTAAGTTTATTAAGCTGGAGACCATGTAGATCTAATGAACATCAATAACTTTTTCTCACTTTGATAAAGAACAAGAGGTCAGCAGGGATTGAGAAAACATGAGAACCATGTCCATGCTGTTCCTTTGTCTGCCCCTTTTTATATAACTTGTTGAATTTGCTTCCCAAAGCAAGAAATAGGAAGTAGTGGTGATGGTGGGTAACTGACATGGAGAGCAGTCCCAAGAGAGGATGACACATCTCAACTCTCCATGCGCACAGGTTGGTGGTGACTGTCACCACCAGCTCCAACTAGGAATTGAGGGAAAGTTGCAACATTGACAGGTTAAATATCTTCCTTAATTCTTCCCTCCCTCCCTCCTTCCCTCCCTTCATTCTTCCCTCCCTCCCTCCCTCCTTCCCTCCCTCTCTCCATTCCTTTCTTTCTTTATTCCTCTTTCTCCCTTTTCCCTGCCTTTTATCCATTTTTCTACTGTGTTACTACACCTTGCCCTCCATATTTATGAGTCCTCCTCCACAGAGTCAGTCACTGAAAGTATTTAGGTGAAAAAGGTGTTTCTACACACTGCTACAGACCTTTCCTTTATCATGATTGCTCATAGCATGTGACCATGACATAGCATTTATATTGTATTAGTTTTTGGAAGTAATCTAGAGACAAAGAAAAGCATGTGGAGGAGTGGTGAGTGGGTTATGTAAAAGTGCTATTCCATTTTATATAAGGGACGTGAGTGAGAATTTTAAATTAGTCCCCATAAATACCAAAGGACAGTTGTATTTATTTTCCCAGTTCAATGGATCCCAGGACTCTGTAGAGATGAGTGTGAGCTGGATTCCCACACAGCTGGGCGAGCACTTTTGTCTTTTCCATTCTCTTTCCTTTAATTGGCTTAGGAAGGAAATCTTTGAGTTAGTGATTCAGTGCTTCCCAGACCTCATTTGTGGGCCATCACGTGACCCCTCCTGCAGCTATCCTTTTCATGGTTATTGCACCCCCAGAAGCACCGAAAAATTACTCATTAGAGATCGCCAAATAGTAGGTTCTGTGATCAAGAACACAGAACTCGCTCCAAAAGTAGTATTTGCGTCAAAGCTATCTTTTATTAAAAATGATTCCTTAGTTAGCTACTTCTGTCTTCTATTCTAACTCATTGGCAGTAGGCACACTTTTTCTTTATTTCTTCCCTGTTAGGATTACAAGGGACAAACTTTTACAAGCGTTTGCTTTTAGAATTGCTCAGTGTTTAAGGAGTCCTTTCTGGATGGTGTTGCTAGCTTGTTTCTATCCGAGTAATCTTTTTTTGCTCCTTATTGACTTGTATCAGTAGATCTGTTCACAAAGGGGGAAACACTGGTCATCTACAGTAAACATCCTTGAGAGCAGTTGCAGGCGCCATGGCAGGTGACCCTGATTTCAGGTTTGCTGACCTTTTGTCTCTATTAGTTGCCATAGCGATGAGCTGAGCTCTGCTTAATAGAGCTTTACCAAAATGAAGGCAATCAATAGCTTTTTAAGGCTAATAGTTATGTTTGTGGCTCCTAATAGGAGATACCAACATTAAATGTAGTTATATGAATGCCTCCCAAGGATAGAATTGATGTTAGAAAATGTTAACACGTGGAACGGGTATTTTAAAAAAAGACCTAGTTGAGCAGATGAATACACTCGGTAGATTTTTTTTGAACACCTCAGATCTTTTGTGAGATACGAGAAAATAGAATGATCATTGTAGAATGGACAGAAGTGTTCTTTTACAACAGCAGACTTCAAAAGTCACAAGGACTTGGTTAAGGATTTCTAAAGCCAAGTTGTGTGAGAACACTTTTAGCATGCGTTGAAGAATACTCCAGGCCTAGCGCTCTCCACCTACCAGTGTAACTGCTAATGATGCCAGAGGAGTCTAGAAATCCACAAGGTATGTGGTGGCCAGTTACAGTTCACCATGGAAGCAGAAGGGTCTGGCCTGTGCTTCAGAGTCCTTTACTCACTGTTAGCTGACTGGCAGCTATGCCCTCAGTGGATGGTCTGTACATTTCCTAGCAAGGATGGAGCCAAATCTGTGTGTGTAGGGTGCAGTTAGCACACAGTTCTGCACAAGAGGGAGGAGACCCACAGCCAAGTACGACTTGGGATAATCTTCTTGATGTTTGAGAACTCAAATCGTCTAAATTCTGTTGCAGCAATCTGTCAAATACAACTCAAGGCTTATTAAAAACTAAAGTCAAGGGATGGAGCAGTAGATCAGTGGTTAAGAGTGTGTACTGCTTTTGTGGAGTACCTGGGTTCAGATCCCAGCAGCCACACTGGACAGTTCACAACTGTCTGTAGCTCCAGTAAATGGTGTTCCTACTCCCTTTTCTGACCTCCACAGGCACTTGAATGCATATGGTGTGCATACAGACAAACAGGCACATACACACATACATATAAATATACATAAATAAAACTTTCAAAGAGCAAAATAACAGAAATAAGCACTGCTGGGAATGAGACATGACTGTAAAACCTTCGATGAGCCAAAAGGAAGCAAACAACACACCAGTTAACTGTTTAACTACAGAAAGTGTCTGTCATTGTGAGATGATTAAATTATGTAGCCGATGCTGGCCTTGCGTTTTCCATCCTACTGTGTCTGGGAGTCCAGGTTCATTCCTCTGGACCCAGCTTAATAAAAGTACTTTTTGGTGGTAGTGTTAGCTGAGATGGTTGCTTTCCACCAGGCTTGTTAACCCAGGCTTCTTGCCGCTCTCCGTTTTCATTCTTCTTGCTCCCACTGTCTACTGACACAGTGGCCACTCAGAATAAAAGTTCGAACATATCTTAGAACCCCCAACAGCTTCTGTGCCAAACAAAACCTCTACTCTTTCCCTTAGCCTGGAACACACCACAAGCGATTTCCCCTAATTGATCCCACTTCCTGTCTCTTCCTTGTTTCCTGCAGTCTAGACATGTTTCCGAACAAATCAAATAGGTGCCCACATCTGGGCTCCTTGCACTGGTTTTGCGGCCATGCTGGCACCATGCACCCCTGCCTGCCATTCACTATTGTTCTGTTTCATTGCTTCCATGGCACTTGCCCGGCGAGGCTTTCTAGGACCACTCAGTCGAAAGTGACATCTTGCCATCAGGATGTCCTCTCTGATGATTCATCCTTGTAGCACTTAAGCCCTCATCTGCTCGTGCTCTACAGCCCTCTGCTCAGCCGTCTGGATCTATGAGAATTCCTGTGCTCCGAGGGCGGGGATTGGGCTCTTCACTCACCATTTTATTTCCACCACCTGGAATAATAGCAGCATGTTCCAAGAGCCGGATGATTATTTGTGGAATGAATGAATGGATGGATGGATTTGCTGTAAGGATAGGACTGCTGAAGAACAAGGAGAAAACAGTAAAAATGAAAGTATCAAATATCTTGGGGTTTTTTTTTCAGTTTTTTTTAATTAATATTTTTTTATTTTCCATTTTAAATTTAGATAAGAAACAAGGTTGCTTCACAAGTCCCTCTCCCTTTCCCTCCCCTCCTCCCGTGCCCTCCCCCATCCCCCCCCGTTATCCCCTCATTCCCCCAGGGAGGGTGAGGCCCTCCATGGGGGTGTCCATAGTCTGTCATTTCATATAGGGCAGGGCCTAGACCCTTCCCCAAGAGTTCAGGGTGAGAGTGAGAGTCTTGGGGGGTTTTAAAGCTCTGCAAAGCATATGCTTTTCATAATTCTACCCTTGTCTCCTATTGTCATTGTAGTAGCTGCATTCACCTTTGCCAACGAACTTAAATCCACACTTTTATGCCTGCATATTATAGGTGAGGAATTGTGGTGACTGCACTTGGAATTATATATATATATATATATATATATATATATATTATATATATAATATATAGTGGTTTTTTTGAGACAGAGTTTCTGTGTGTAACACTATTGACTGGCTGTGTTGGAACTCATTTGCTAGACCAGGTTGACCTGGAACTCAACAAAGATCTGCCTATCCTACCTCTGCCTCCCGAGTGCTGGGATTAAAGGCATGCACACCACCACCCGTTCCACAATATTTTTTAATGTTAGTACTTTTAAACTAATTTTTTCAACTTACATACAAAGAAATGAATGGCCTTTGTTGTGAAATTTCATACAAGTGTCCCATTATGCTTGTGGCACAGGCCTAAAATTCCATCCTGAGGTGGAAACTGGATGATCAACAGCCCAAGGTTATCTTCAACTACACAGTTTCAGACTAATTTGTGCTACATGAGACCCTGCCTCAAAAATTAAATAAAATAGTCTTTGGTTTTAGAACTATTACAAAACTCTCAAGTCCTCAATGCAAACAAATTCTAACAAAATTATAAAAAATATAATGTCAAAAACATTTTACATGAGTTGATTTATGACTTTCTTTCTTTCCTTTATTTTTAAACTGCAGTATCGCCCAGTGCCCCAAGACTTGGCCCCACGGAGCTGACTGTTGTTATCACTGTGCCTGTTTGCCTCCTGTCCATAGCTGCCATGCTGACAATATGGGCATGCCAGGACCGCCAGTGCACACACAGAAAGACCAAGAGACACAACGTGGAGGAACCTCTGGCAGAGTACAGCCTGGTAAACGCGGGAAAAACACTCAAAGATCTGATTTATGATGCCACTGCCTCAGGTTCAGGCTCTGGTATGTGTGTGTTTTCAGTAAGCAAGCTCTTGTTTAAAAATAAATGAACAATCTTTTTGATAAAAGTGTCCAGTGAACTCATCAACTAAAGTGCTCAATGAGGTACATAATAAATAAACTCATGAACAGAAATCTCTTTAAGGATTACAAGCGCATCATCTAAAATAGCAGGTCTTCATATAGTTTTACAAAACGTTTTTAGGATTGGTTGTACCCCCCCCACATTCCCTCCTTTTCCTGTTCCTTCCCCACATTTAATCTTGTTTTAGTTTCTCCTTTATCTCTTTATAACACTACATCCAATTTCCCCATCCTCTTCTCTTTTTAAAGAGACAGATAGATATGCACCCATGCTCGAATACACACACACACACACACACACACACACACACACACACACACACACACACACAGAGGTGGGGACATGGAGTTGTGTGGGGAAGAGTTGGAGTAGGAGAGAACAAGATCAAAATACATTGTATGAATGATTTTTTAAAAATCCTACTTAAAAAAGGATTTTCATGATAGAGTCTTCTCAGAGGTCCAAAGATTTCTGAGATCCGATTTGTTTATATATATATATACATACCTTGGGATTTGATTTTCGTTTATTTGTTTTGGCTTTCATTTATCCTTTACCTCCTCCTGTTGTAATTTAAAAAGTGGTGTGTGTGAGAGAGATACTATTTGACAGAGCTCATATGGAGAGGTTTTTATTAGAGGAAAGGAAATGGAAAAAGGAGGGAGGGGAGAGAGGAGACAAGCTTTTTGGGATAGGAGAGGCAGAGGAGAAGAGAGAGGTGGCGGTGGGGGGGGCAGAGAGACAAACAGAGAAGGAGAAAGAGAGAGGGAGGGAGAGGGAGACTGGAGGGAGGGAGGGAGAGAGAGAGAGAGAGAGAGAGAGAGAGAGAGAGAGAGAGAGAGAGAGAGAGAGAGAGAGAGGCAGGCAGGCAGGCAGAGAACAAGAAAGAGAAAAGGATGGAAGGTGGGCAGGGCCCCTTTAAAAGGGAACAGGTGGCATATTCTATAGTGCCTATAACTGAGGGCATATCCTGTCAGAACTCCAAGGACAGAACAATAAAGATGCCTGAATACTAATACCTCCCATTATGGTCAAAGCCATCACTGCTGCTTTCTTTGGCTGTTTAATAGAAACAGAGCACTTATGGGTGTTGGGTTTGAGTCCATGAGATATGGGGAAATATGTTAGTTAACAAAGCAGTGTTCCTTGTGAATGTTTGTGGTCACCAAGGCCTTCTGGATCTGTAGGCATCCTCCATTCCCGGGATGTGCTTTGAAAGTTAAGAAGTTGCTGCCCTGTAATTAATTCAACATGATGTTCTGGAAGCCCAGAAATGGGAATGCAAAGGAAGCTCACAGTATTCCTAGCTGGCTCCTGCAGCTCAAGGTTATCTATTCACTGTTACCACAATGTTACATTTTCTTCTTTAACGGATTCAGACTGCTGATGAAGGAATTCCAAGGGTCAGACTGCATCATGGAATAAAAGGTTCTTTTTCATAGCACAAAACACTGTGGGGAGTAGGGAAGGGCAGGATTTTTCTGCAGTTACAAGACCTCTTCTCTGCCCATCTGAATTTCTAGAAAGCCTTGACCCTTGGCTTTACAGGAATATGATGAAGAGGACACCCAAACAAAGTCATTTCTGAAGCTCCTACATCTCTCCTTGCTTGAGAAGGATAATTAATGCCATTATTCCAGAAGGGGATAGATGCTGGTACTTGTCTGTAATCTCAGTATTAGGAATGCTATAGTTGGAGCCTCCCAAGCTAGACACCAATCTGAACTACGTAGCAAAATCTGCTTTGAAAAAAAATGAAATACAAGGAAACAAACAAACAAAAAACCACAAGACTTTGAGGAACTCTCCTGCTGGTGGGTGTAACATCCAGACAAACACAGTTAATAGAGCAGGTGAGGAAACAACATCACGTTCATATGGGCACTTATATCAATCAAGCAGCACTCTGAATGCATCAGAAAGGAGCAAAATTTTGCTTATCAGAAGAGTCTAATGGTCCAAGCTGTCACTGTAATGTCAAGTGGGATGTTTTAACAAAGGAAACCAAGAGAGAAAAATCTTGCCATTGCAAAGCATATAAAGCTGGAATCCAAATTATGTCGCTGTATAGAAGGCTCACATTTTTATCTTAAAACAATATTCCTCAGTACATAAACTCTGTTTCTTCGGATATTATATGTTGAGACCTACTGTACTCCAAAATTTTGAGACCTGCCAACATTCTGCACACAAAGGATTCTGATTTAATCTTAATTTCTAGAAACACACTTCTTGATCATTTTCAAAGGACTGAAGAACCTTTATTACCCACAGAAGCATTTTCATTCAATTGATGATACTAAGTCATGTTCTGCTTAGTTTTCATTGTCCACTTAACACAACCTATAGACCTCTGGAAGGAGAAGTCTCAGGTGGGCAATTTCTTGGGTCAGGTTGGCCTGTGGGTAAGTTCATGGGGAAATTATCTTGATTGCTAATTGATGTAGGATGGCACAGTCCACTGTAGGTTGTACCATCTCTGGGCAGATGATCTTCAACTGTACAAGAAAACTTGATGAGAACGGCCCAGGGAGCTACCCTGCAAGCAGTGTTTCTTCATAATTCCTGTCTCTGGTTTCCTTCTTTGAGTTTCTGCCCTGACTTCCTTCAGTGATGTATTGTATAATACAATGATGTATAAGCCAAATAAATCCTTTCTTCCCCCATGGTGTTTTTGGTCATGGTGTTTGTATATTTCCCTACTCTTTGAGTGTACTGAATTTGACCAAGGATTTCTCTTCCATGCAAGAGATTAGATATCTAATTTAAGAAAGGAGTAATGAGCTAGCAAGATGATTCACAGCATAAATGTGCTTTCCACCAAGCCTGAATACCTGAGTTCATTTCCAAGGACCCACATGATAGAAGGAGAGAGTCAACCTCTATGGGTTGCTCTTTGGTCACACCTCCCTTATAGTGCTCTCCCCCATATATAAACAAAAAATGTGACTAGATTTTTACACACACACACACACACACACACACACACACACACACACACACACGGAGTCATGAGCTGAACATGAAACCCAAAATTTTGACCTGTAGCTCTCATCCCTCATCAAGGAAACATTTTTTTCAGCATATGAATACCATTACAGAGAGTCACAATTATTCAAAACTCATAGAACTCCTGATCCCAGGGTGCTCAGCCTCAAGGCATACATCTACAACACAACTCCTACACCTAAGGTTCAGGGAGCATCACAGAAGATGGAGTGGGAAGACTGTGAGAGACAGAGGACCAAGAAGTCTTATAAGAGATTGTGTCTGCTAGAAATGGCAGGGGAATTTCATCCATGATACCTCAACTATATGGCTGCCTGAGCAAGATCTGAATAAGGACAGCACCAATAAACTTGCTTATGTGGAAGGGAAAATCTCATGGAGCCCAAAATCTCATGGGGCCCCATGCTTAGACCAACGCCAAATGGACTCATTGGATTGTATTACATTTATATGTATTATGCATGTTACAATGAAAGATAGAGAACATTTCCCATTAAATGTTTTTAAAGGTGTATCTTCAAGCATGAGTGTGACTCTGTCGGCTTCTGGGCAGAGTATACTCAGACATTTTATGGAAGGAGAGGAACACATGCCTAAGCCCAGATAATTTCTTTTTGTTTTTGCAGTGAAGATTGGACCCAGGGCTTCACACAGCACGTGCTGGGCAAGTGTTCTTTCTCCGAGCTACATCCCTAGGCTTTGTGTATGTGGGGGTAAAAGTGGTGGTGACAATGTGTCACTAGCCCTGCCTCAGCATTCCAAAGAGTTGAGAACACAGGTCTGCATCACCAGGCACTGCTCATGGATACCTTTCTTTAGAGAAAAATTGGAGCTAGTTTTGGGCATTTTGTCTCCGTAAAGCCAGTTTGTTTGGCGGTGACCCCTAGCTAAAAGCACATGCCTTTAATCATCAGAGAGCAGGCTTTCCTTCGGCAAGGCTTCTGCCACAATAGCTTGCCCATAAGGAAGACACTGGACCAGCCTGCTTCCTTTCTGCCTTTCTCAATTGGTTGGTGACCTTGAATCTGAGGCAGCTTTTTCAGATATTGAAAAACCCTGATTATGAAGCTTATCCCTGACCAGGTCAGGGACAAATTTCAAAGAGATGGAGAGCCTACAAAGTGGAAATAAATGTTGTTTTATTGGACTGTGCTTGAGAGTGGGCTTTGTCTCAGGCGCCTTTCACGGAAGTAGGAAGCCTGCTTCTTTGTCTTACGGTATAACATTCTGACAGATGGTGACACGAGCCAGACATCAGCTTCTATAATCCCTGGTGAAAAGATTAAAATGAACTCATGGCAAGAGGCAAAGTTTCTGTTCAAATGGAGCTTGAAGCTGTGTAACACAAAAACTACCCAGACTCATTTTGCTATTTGCTTTGGAAGGTATTGAAGCAACCGAAGCAGTGTGTCCCCCAGCTCACCCCGCTGGTCCCCTTAAATGATGTGATGTTCTTTGTCCACCAATTGGGTGACACATCAACTGCAGCGTGAAAACACTCTCTTGCTGATTTCTCTCTCTCTTTCTCTCTTGTCAGTGATGATGTGGGAAGGGAGATGCTGAGATTTGACTTAATAATTGTTAGTGTCACTTTGTGCCATAAACATTGACTGAAGCCTACAAAAATAACCCTGGCTATTCATTGCTGGATGTTTTCCTTCACGCAGAGAGGAACACAGGTCTGCCCTCCTATGAGGGACAAAGCATTCTGGGTCCGCCACCAGCAGCAGCAGACTCTCTTCAAGTCTGATTACTGTCAGGCTCTAATTTTCTCATCGATAAATGATGAGGTTGAACCAGATGGTTCCAAAAGAACTTTCGGACTGTGGGGCTTGGTGACTAATTGTTGAGGCTCATACCAGTGAATTTATAGTCTGTGCCTATTTACCATTGTGGGTGGTTCTCCTGGAGATGAGAACATCTGTGTAAACACTGGCTCATTCTTAGATCAGGGGACAATACCCCCAATGAGCCACATGGGCATTATTTTCTCTAGCCGCCTGAGGACAGTGCAGTAACCAAGCTGACTTGCTAGAACACATTCTTCTTGTAGCCTCTTTAACTGTTTGCTTTCTAACAATACAATTACAGGAATAAGAAAAACCTTCTCATGGACCCTGTGTTGAAAATACAGCAAACTAAAAAGGAAGAAAATTATAACTCACTCTGATTCTACTATGTGGTTCAGAGTCTTCTACGTGCAGTTTGAAAATCTGCAAACACAATATAGGTAGAATTTACTATGCTGCTTTCATTTAACACTGTAGCAGAGTAGATTCCGGTGTCCCTGTAATATACTTTATTAGCAGCAGCGTCAGTGTTAATCTTATGTGATCCATGCTGAGGTTGCTGTAAGATTGAGGGTAACCATCGCTGATCATGCATTATGTCAGGTACAGTGCAAGATGCTTAGCCTCCTCATTGACTCTTGTACTGTTCAGTTTCCCGGAGCGTGGTGCTAACGCTCACAGAAGTTAAGTTCCCTGACCGTGGTGATTAGATACTGTAGCTGAAACTGGAACCCAGGTCTTTTCTCACCTGTGCTTGTGTATCTTCTGCACCATGTTTCACAAATGTCTTCTTACTTGAAGGGCTTCCTTTTTGTTTAATATTAATGACAACATTGTCTTCAATATTTTGTACACATATTCTCTACATTTTGACTTAATTCTACAGGATGCAATTTAAGAAGTAGAGTTACTATTTTAAAAATTACAACCACTCTGGGCATGATGGTGTGCATCTTTATTCCCAACACTTGAGAGGCAGAGGCAGGCAGCTCTCTGTGAGTGTGAAGCCAGCAGTCCATGTAGTGAGTTCCAGGACAGCCAGGAATAAATAGTAAGACCCTGTCTTAAAAAACACAACAAAAAGTTATGAGCATCACACCTATCTGTAGAACATGTTTTCCTTGAATTTATTTATTTCACAAACAACATATTCTTAGTGTAACATGCTTATCTTATTCGTCATTAAATTTGATTCCTTTCATGCACATTTTAATTTTATTTTGAAAAAATCCACGAAGAATTCTTTTCCTTTCACAGTAGTACACAGGAGCTATGCATTTTATTTTAGATGTTAGCCATGGATGTTTTCCTTTGAGTCCTTAGTAATCGGACTGGCTTTATGGGAATTTCAGGGCATTTGCCCCAGTTCTTACAAACCAGATATCTGTAGCAGCAGGCTGTGCTCAGAAGCTTGTTTGTGAATGAGAGAAGCGAAATTAACAGTTTAGGAAATTTTATAGGTCATGCCTTGGCATTAAAGTTTTATGGCAATGATGCTTATTTCTTCAAGTTTAGTGAAGTTACTAATATGCTTAAGTGGCCATCATTGTGACTTTCCCTTTTCATCACCAGTCTGCCTCTCGCTTGACTAGGTCTGCCTCTTCTGGTTCAAAGAACAATCGCGAGGACTATTGTACTACAAGAAATAGTAGGAAAAGGTCGATTTGGGGAAGTGTGGCATGGAAGATGGTGTGGGGAAGATGTGGCCGTGAAAATATTCTCCTCCAGAGATGAACGATCTTGGTTTCGTGAGGCAGAGATTTATCAGACAGTGATGCTGAGACACGAGAACATCCTTGGCTTCATTGCAGCTGACAACAAAGGTAAGGTCGCTTTCACCAAGGTAGGTGAGAAAAAAATGGCAGCTTGCTTGTAAGACAGATGAGAGTCATCCCTTTGTCTCCTGAAAGCACATACAAAATTTCCCTTGTCTTTCCCACAAGTAAATGCCCATAACTAAGCAGGGAAGGGCAGTAGCCGATGGTTAGAGTGGAGTCAGGATAACGTGGTAAAACTAATGTTTAAGATATCAGCTAACTGGTACTGGGCAGGAACCAGCCATCTGCAACTGGAGTCAGTCCTCAGAAAACCTACTAGCCTAGTTTCTTGTCCTTACTCACCCTGGGTCATAGAAACATCTAGAGGCATTTTGGACTGTGAAGGGACATTTGGGTGTGCTGGCAGTGGGATGACATTAGAATTTTGAATGACTGTTGTTCATCAGCTGGGGAGGGATCTATATCACATGCTTTGTGTGCATGTCACTTCTGAACTTTGAGAATGGGGCAAGAGATTGTTAGTGGCATTTTATATCTTTGTTAACTTGGCCATGCCTCAGAATTTGAAGTTTAACACTGACAGATGAGTAATTGTAAGTTGTTTTAGTGTCCTGGAACAAAGGGGATCATCTATCTGGTAAAGTCAGTACTCTTTTTTTTAATTATTATTATTTTTTATTTAGGTTATAAAAATCTTGTTTCACATGTCAATCCCAGCTCACTCTCCCTCCCATCCTACCCTGCCCTCACCACCAGGTCTCCCAGTCCCCCACCCAATCTCCACTCTAATCACCAAGGAGGGTGAGGCCCTCCATGGTGGATCTCCAGTAACTGTCATTTCATCCAGGGCAGGGCCTAGGCCCTCCCCAAAGAGTCCCGGCTGAGAGAGCCTCCCATATTGTGGCATGGGCACTCAAAGTCTATTTGTATGCCAGGGATAAATACTATCCAAGGCCCCATAGATTACCTTGGCCTCCTCACTGATGCCCACATTCAGGGGGCCTGGGTCAGTCCCACTCTTTCCACACAGCCATCAATCTAGGGTCCAAGAGCTCCCCCTTGTTCAGGTCAACTGTTTCTGTGGGTTAAACCAGCACAGTCTTAACTCCTTTGCCCATCAGTTCTCCCTTTCTGACACTGGATTCTAGTTCAGTTCAGTGTTTGTCTGTGGTTATCTGCCTCTGCTCTCATCAGTTGCTGGATGAAGGTTCTGTTTCTAGACTCTCTGGCAGTGGAACTGTATGCTGGCACTCCCCTAATACATGTCTAAAATCCATAAATGAGTAAATACATACCATGTTTCTCTTTTTGTGACTGGGTTACCTCACTCAGGATGGTTTCCTTTAGTACCATCCATTTGCCTGTAAATTTCAAGATTCCATTGTTTTTTGTCCTCTGAATAGTATTCCATTGTGAAAATGTGCCACATTTTCTCTTTTCACTCTTCAGTTGAGGGGCATCTAGGTTGCTTCCAGGTTCTGGCTATTACAAATAATGCTGCTATGAACACAGTGGAACAGACATCCTTGTTGTATGAATGGGCATCTTTTGGGTATATGCCTAAGAGTGGAAATGCTGGCTCTTGTGGTAGACTGATTCCCATTTTCCTGAGCAACTACAAAACTGATTTCCAAAGTGGCTGTACAAGTCGGCACTCCCACCATCAGTGGAGAAGTGTTCTCCTTTCTCCACATTCTCTCCAACATAAACTGTCCTTGGAGTTTTTTATTTTAGCCATTCTGACAGGAGTGAGATGGTATCTCAGAGTTGTTTTGATTTGCATTTCCGGATGGCTAGAGATGTTGAGCACTTTCTCAAGTGTCTCTCAGCCATATTAGACTCCTCTATGGAGAATTCTTTATTTAGTTCAGTCCCCCACTTTTTGATTGGATCCTTTGGCGTTTTGAAGACTTGCTTCTTGAGTTCTTTGTAAATTTTGTAGATCAGCCCTCTGTCAGATGTGGAGTTAGTGAATATCTTTTCCCAATCTGTGGAGTGCCTTTTTGTCTTGCTGACTGTGTCCTTTGCCTTACAGAAGCTTCTCAGTTTCAGGAGGTCCCATTCATTAATTGTTGATCACAGTGTTTGTGCTACTGGTGTTATGTTTAGGAAGCATTCTCCTGTACCAATTTGTTCCAGGGTACTACCTAACTTCTCTTCTAAGAAGGTCAGTGTGGCTGCATTTATGTCTTTGATCCATTTGGACTTAAGTTTTGTGCTGCATGGCAATAGATATGGATCTATCCGCATTCTTCTACATGCTAGCATCCAGTTATGCCAGCACCATTTGTTGGAGATGCTTTCTTTTTTCCATTGTATATTTTTAGATTCTTTGTTGAAAATCAGAGCTTCATACATGTATGGGTTAATATCAGGGTGTTCAATTCGATTCATTGATCTACCTGTCTGTTTTTGTGCCAATACCAAGCTGTTTTTAGGAATATAGCTCTATAATAGAGCTTGAAGTCAGGTCAGGGATGGTGATGCCTCCAGATGTTGCTTTGTTGAAAAAGTTTGGTTTGGCTATCCTGGATGTTTTGTTTTTACATACAAAGTTGATTATTGTTCTTTCAAGTTCTGTGAAGAATTGTGCTGGGATTTTAAAGGGGATTGTGTTAAATCTATGTGTTGTTTTCGGTAAGATTGCCATTTTTACTATGTTGATCCTATCCACGAGCATGGGAGATATTTCCACATTCTGGTGTCTTCTTTATTTTCTTTCTTTAATGACTCAAAGTTCTTGCTATACAGATTTTTTAATTGTTTGGTTAGCATTACCCCCAAGGTATTTTATGTTGTTTGTGGCAATTGTAAAGGGCGATGTTTCTCTGATTTCTTTCTCAGTCATTTTATCGTCTGTATATAGGAGGGCTACTGATTATCTTGAGTTGATCTTGTATCCTGCCACTTTGCTGAAAGTATATATCAGCTGCAGGAGTTCCCTGGTAGAGTTTTTTGGGTCACTTATGGAAACTATCATATCATCTGCAAATAGTGAAAGTTTGACCTCTTCTTTTCTAATTTTATCCCCTTGATCTCCTTTTATTGTCATATTGCTCTAGCTAGAACTTCAAGTACAATATTGAAGAGGTATGGAGAGAGTGGACAGCCTAGTCTTGTTCCTGATTTTAATGGAATTGCATTGAGTTTCTGTCCATTTATTTTGATGTTGGCTGTTGGTTTGATGTATATATCTTTTATTATGTTGAGGTAAGTTCCTGTTATCCCAGATCTTCCCAAGACCTTAATATGAAGGGGTTTTGGATTTTGTCAAAGGCTTTTTCAGCATCCAGTGAGATGATCATGTGATTTTTATTTCTCAGCTTGTTTATATGGTGGATAACATTGATGGATTTTCACATGTTGAACCATCCTTGCATACCTGGAATGAAGCCTACTTGATCCGGGTGGATGAGTTTTCTGATGTGTTCTTGGATTTGATTTGCCAGTATTTTATTGAGTATTTTTGCATCAATTTTCATGAGGGATATTTGTCTGAGGTTCTCTTTCTTAGTTGTGTCTTTGTGTGTCTTGGGTATCAAGGTTATTGAAGCCTCATAGAAAGTGTTTGGCAAAGACCCTTCTGCTTCTATTGTGTGTAATACTTTGAGAATTGGTATAAGGTATTCTTTTAATTTCTGGTAGAATTCAGCACTGAGGCCATCTGGCCCTGGGCTTTTTGTGGTTGGGTGACTTTTGCTGACTGCTTATCTGTCCTTGATTTCATTTTGGCAAGTGATATCTATCCAGAAAATTGTCCATTTACTTTAGATTTTCAAATTGTGTGGTGTACAGCTTTTCAAAGTATGACCTGATGATTCTCTGGATTTCATCAGTGTCGGGTTGTTATGTCCCCCTTTCATTTCTGATTTTGTAAATTTTCATGTTCACATTATGTCGTTTGGTAAGTTTGGATAAAGTTTTGTCTATCTTGTTGATTTTCTCAAAGAACCAAATCCTTGTTACATTGATTTTTTTGTATTGTTTTCCTAGTTTCTGCTTTATTTATTTCAACTCTCAATTTGATTATTTCCTGACATCTGCTCCTCCTGGGTGAATTTGCTTCTTTGTGTTCTAGAGCTTTCAGTTGTGCTGTTAATTCTCTAGTGTAACTATTCTCCAGTTTCTTCATGTGGGCACTTAGTGCTATGACTTTCCCTTGTAGCACTGCTTTCAAAGTGTCCCATAAGTTTGGGTATGTTGTGTCCTCATTCTCATTGAATTCTAGGAAGTCTTTAATTCATTTTTTATTTCTTCTTTGACCCAGGAATGGTGCAATTGTGCATTATTCAACTTCCATAAGTTTGTAGGGTTTCTGCAATTTGTGTTGTTGCTGAATTCTAATTTTAACCCATGGTGGTCTGATAAGGTGCATGGAGTTATTCCAATTTTTTTAATCTGTTGAGGTTTGATATGTTGCCAAGTATGTGGTTGATTTTTGAGAAGGTTTCATGTGACGCTGTGAAGAAGTTATATTCTTTTTTATTTGGGTGGAATTTTCTATAGATATCTGTTAATCCCAATTGGGTCATAACTTCTGTTAGTTCCTTTGCTTCTTTGTTAAGTTTCTGTCTGGTAGTCCTGTCTAGAGGTGAGAGTGGGGTGGTGAAATCTTCCTCTATAACTGTGTGGGGCTTTGTATGTGATTTGAGTTTTAGTAATGTTTCTTTTATGAACGTGGGTGCCTTTGTATTTGGGACATAGATGTTCAAAAATGAAACTTCATCTTGGTGGGTTTCTCCTGTGATGAGTATGAAGTGCCCTCCCTCATCTTTTTGATTGATTTTATTTTACAATCTAATTTGTCAGATATTAGGATTGTTACCCCTACTTGTTTCTTGGATCTGTTTGATTGGAAAACCTTTTCCCAACCGTTAACTCTGAAGCAATGTCTGTCTTTGAGACTGAGTTGTGTTTCTTGTATGCTGCAGAAGGGTGGGTTCTGTCCTCGAATCCATTCTGTTAGCCTCTGTCTCTTTATGGGCGAGTTAAGACCATTAATACTGAGGGATATTAATGACCATTGATTGCTCATTCTTATTTGTTTTGGAATAACTGATGGCGGTGGAATTATATGTGGATTTCCACCTCTTTTCTTTTGGCTGTTGGTTGGTGGGATTATCTATTGCCTATGTTTTTCTGGTTGTAGTTAACTCCCTTGCGTTGTGGTTTTCCTTCCAGAACTTTTTGTAGGGTTGGGCTAGTGGATACGTATTGTTTAAATTTGGATTTGTCATGGAATATCTTGTTTTCTCCATCCATAGTGATTGAAAGCTTTGCTGAGTATAGCAGTCTGTGCTGGCATTCATGGTCTCTTAGTGTTGGTAGAATATCTATCCAGGACTTTCTGGCTTTCAGAGTTTCTATGGAGAAGTCAGGTGTGATTCTGATAGGCTTGCCTTTGTATGTTACTTGGTCTTTTTCCTTTGTTGCTCTTAATATTCTTTGTTTATTCTGTATGTTTGGGGTTTTTACTATTATGTGGCAAGGGGATTTTCTTTTGTGACCCACTCTATTTGGTGTTTTGTAGGCTTCTTGTACTTCCATTGGCATGTCTTTCTTTAACTTGGGAAAAATTTCTTCTATGATTTTGGTGAATATGTTTTCTGCCCCTTTGAGGTGGATTTCTTCACCTTCTTCTATACCTATTATTCTTAGGTTTGGTATTTTCACGGTATCCCATATTTCCTGGATATTTTGTGTTAGGGATTTGTTGGACTTAAGATTTTCTTTGGTTGATGAATCTATTTTCCCTAGTGTATCTTCAACACCTGAGATTCTGTCTTCCATCTCTTGTATTCTGTTGGTTATGCTTGTATTTGTAGTGCCTGACCATTTGCCCAGCTTTTCTATTTCCAGCATTCCTTCAGATTGTGTTTTTTAATTGTCTCTATTTCAGCTTTCAACCCTTGCACTGTTTGAATTGTTTCTTGTAATTTTTGCTTTGTCTTTTTCTCTCTTTCTTGCATTTGATGAAGTTTTTGGGTTGTCTTTTCTTCCATTTCTTGCAATTCTTGGATTGTTTTTCCTCTATTTCTTGTGGGGTTTTTTTTTTGGTTTCTTTTTTCTTCCATGTCTTTAAGGGATTTTCTCATATCTTCTTTGAGGGCCTCTATCATTTTCATGAAGTTGTTTGTAAGGTCTTTCTCATTTGCTTCTTCCACAATGGACTGTTCAGGTCGTGTGGGTGTAGATTCTCTAGTTTCTGGTGGTGTCATATTGGTTTTTCTGTTGTTGGCTCCTTCCCATCATTTCTTCCTCTGAATGCAGAAGGAGTCTCTTCCTCTCCTGGTGGGTATGAGCCCATGGTTCCTTTCCAGTGGGTGGGAGCAGGTCCAATACCCTGGTGGCTTTCCTCTTGTGTGGATGTAGGCCATCCTAGTATCGGGACCTCAGCAAACTCTGGGTAGGCTGGACCCTTGCCTTGTCTGTCCTGTACGTGGAGAATGGGACTTGGAACCTGGAAGTCTCTGGGCGGTCTGAATCCTGTGGAGCTGGGATCCGGATCCGCTGTGCACAGTCCTCAGGTCTCCGGTGTTTCTGCTCAGGCCCCGGTACTCTTAAAATATTGTTACATGTACAATAGTAGTGAGGGAGGGTTTTCCTCCTTCTCTTTCTTCTTCCTACAAAGCTGGACAACAAAGGGAAATGAGGACAGGAGTGAGAAATTCAATCTGGCCAGGTTTGAAATTAGAACTTTAATCCATATCTAGGAAGGACTTTGATGGAGCCACAGTTATAATCTCATTAAAAAGCCAAAATAGAAAAGTTAAACTAAAGTAGCTGTGAACTTTACATATTTACTATTGCTTGGGAAATTAAAAAAATTAGTTTTGTCTAAGAGAAACATGATCATGATTTTATTTATTATTTACTGGATGGCAAAATAGAGGCCAGCACTTATTGCAGAAGTATACTTCTTAGCTCTGGTTTGCAAGGAAGGAAAGTAAAACTGAAATGAGCTGAGGGGAAAAGCTCCTCACGAGTTCTTTTAATTATTATTAATTATTATTATTGTCATTATTATTACTATCATTGTATGTGTTTGGGTAGTTTGTCTGCATGTATGTCTGTGCCTAGTGTCAAGCAAGGACAGAAGAGGGCAATGGATCCCCCGGAACTGGAGTTACACATTATTGTGAACCACCATGTGGATGCTGGGAGTTGAACCCGGTTCCTCTGGAAGAGCAGCCAGTGTTCTTAACTGGCTAAGCCATCTCTCCAGTCCCTCTTTCCAAGTTCTTAAGGACGTATGTTTTAACACTATATCCAGAGTTTGAAAAACAGACACTGCCCCAAGGTTAAGAAATCACTTCTCCCTGGTAATCTTGAGTTGAGTTATTCCTGGTTAGGTTAACCAGCACACTGGTATCAGCACACTGGTGACCAGTCATATTACCCATCTTAATGAACTAGTTTAATAACAGTGTTTACTGGCTTACATATGCATCTGTACCAAAGAGGTTGTCTTTCATTTTTGCCTCTTTCTGTGTATTTAAAATTTTACTTTATGTGCATTGGCGTTTTGTCTGCATGGATGTTTGTATGAGGGTGTCAGAATACCTGGACCTGGAGTTACAGACAGTTGTGAGCTGCCTTGTGGTTGCTGGAAATTGAAGCTGGGTGCTCTGGAAGAGCAATCAGACCTCTTACTGGCTGAGTCATCTCTCCAGCCCCTGCTTCTTTTTGTTTAACTGGCTTCTCTCAGCCATATCCTTACTTGTCAGTTACTTTGTACAGATATCAAATGGTTTCTAATATCACTTTCATCTTCACAAATTCTTTATTCATGTAACACAGGTTATATCATAGCCAAGTGTCTAGCAATGACCTTGTTGTGAGAGAGCATAGCTAGGTGGAGGTGAGAGCAGGGCAGGTCTGAGCGTGAGGTCAGTGTGTGGTGGGTCTTAGTGAACTTTATAGTATACTGCCTTTTGTCTGTCATGAAGCTTTCTCACTGGCCGGCTATGAAAATGCAATTGGTGGATAGCATCCAGCTCCTGAGCATACTGCACCTGGCAGGAAAGCATCTAAGCAAAATGCTCACCGTAGAGTGCTTTTCCATCTCAGAACTGGCCAGGGCTGCCTATACTGTCATAGACACTTGGTTTAGAAAGCTACAACTAACTGTTGAAGTACTGCTACATATCAGGCTAATTTCTCATCTGTTACAAGTCTTTAAAAATGCTGGGTTAGTTTTTGTTTGAATGGGTACACTATCGGAGAATATCTAGCAATCATATCATAGAACTTGGCTGTAAAACTGTTTGGCATACATAACTTCCTATTTTTAAAGGCCAACAACATGGACATTGTTAGAATGTCAGCATTCTTGTGGTAGTAACAGTAGTTGCTGTAAATTTGTTATTTTTCTTGTTGTCATTATTGGTTTAATCTTTCTTAAAAGCTTAAGAGTGTAGGACAAGGCTGAGGTCAAATAATCCTCTCAGAAGTGTCTCTTACAATGCATCTTTCCAAAGTTTCCCATATACTGTGGTAACTGTCACCAGCAACTACTGATGAAAGGAAGCAGAGAAAGAGTCGCTCACTTGGTAGAACCACCTTCCACAACTTCCTGTTTCCATGGAAGCTTCCTCTATAGCCATATTTTCAATAGCTCATTGAGAATTTTATACTTCCCTGAGTCCAGCTTCGCTGCTGAAAGAATTAAATTTGTTGTTCATAAATGGTACCAATATACTTTAAATACTCTTGTTGTTAAAAGTGCTCTAATTCTTTCTCAACATTTACAACAGCAAATGATGTTTTCTCGTTAGATAATGGAACTTGGACTCAACTTTGGCTTGTATCAGAGTACCATGAACAGGGCTCCTTATATGACTATTTGAATAGAAATATAGTGACCGTGGCTGGAATGATCAAACTGGCACTTTCAATAGCCAGCGGTTTGGCTCACTTACACATGGAGATCGTTGGTACTCAAGGTATGTATGTCCTTTCAGAAAGCTGGCCTTTGTAATGACTTTATTTTAGTTCTTTACAATCATCAAACTCAGAGGAACAATGGAGGTACTTCACAAAAGGGAGGTTCTTGTCATGCTGCAAACAACTTTCTCATATTCTCAGCACCATACATGTTATTCATGATGTATTTGTATCCACAGTGGCTCGCTCCATCTATGCCACTAGCCTGTATATCTAGAGGTCTTATTTTGGTGGCAAAGGCTATATATTCACTTATGGCAGGTGGTATAAATGTTTGCTTTTGATACTTAAAAGTCAATGGGAAAGAATAACATGACCATGAAATAATATTTGAGGCTGTGTGTAGGAAGCTGAGGCAGAAGAATGCCTATGAGGTTGAGGACATCCTGGGTTACATGTGAGTTCCATACTAGGCTGGAACTGTCTCAAAAAGATAAAACCAAATATTGGAATATAATACTTGAAGGTCAAATAATATCCTTGGCTTAGTCAATGTACTGAGTCTGTAGGAGACTGACTCTTGGAAGTTATTAGTTTAAACAGGCCACTAGGTTCACGACCCCTTTATACTCTTAAAAACTATCGAATCCCTCAAAGTTTTGTTAAATGTAGGTTATATATATATATATATATATTAATACATTCCATGTTAAAATTCTTCATTGAGAAATTAGAAACTGTTTATTTCAAGAACTGCAATTAGCCAATTAAATATTAATGTGAATAACAGCTTCCAAACGTTTTGCAACTTTTCCTAATGCAATGTAGTGAAAATAGCAGTTTTGTTCTACATTTTTAAAATTGTAATATTTAGCTCATTTCACACATGTTCTTTATTTTATTTATCCCTTATATGGTTTTGATTAAATTAAGTGGAGAAATGGTGACATGAGCCATATAGGTAGATATATAGTAGTTCTAAGGACCCTCATGGATCCTCTGTCCTCATTTGGGAATTGCTAGTCTAGAGTAGTACAATTTGAAGATGTGTTTTATTAGCCCTGTTGTAGATCATACATAGTAGTAACCTGATTCATTTATTGAGAACATGGCTATTAATGTCCACAGTTCTCACCTGGTGCTCTGCACATTGGAACTTCTTGAATGTTAAGCAAGCAACTGTCCTCACTTAGCTTGGAGTTTGGCTAGGAGACTACATGTCTCTTCAAGACAAACTGATGCTCTGCTGGACTTGGGCAAGATGCGTCTGGCAGGGAGACACACAAGCTAAGTGTTCCAAGTGATTTGATTAAGAAGCTTCTGTCTCTAGTAGGGAAAAATTGAATATGCTTTTCTTGTTTTGTAGGTAAGCCTGCTATTGCTCACCGAGATATAAAGTCAAAGAATATCTTAGTGAAAAAATGTGACACTTGTGCCATAGCTGACTTAGGGCTGGCTGTGAAACATGATTCAATCATGAACACTATAGACATACCCCAGAATCCAAAAGTGGGAACCAAGAGGTAAGATGACTTTCGTTGGTAGCTTACTAAAGTATATATGATTGGTCAAGCACTGTGAGTGCCTGTGATGTGTGTCCAACTGTGAAAAAAGTTAGGCCTAAAAATAACAAGAAGTATTTTAGGAGACATCAAGAAGCCATAATGACTGCAAAGTGGGAGAGTTGACTTTTTGGCCTGGTGAAGCAGCCTCTTGAAGCAGTCTAGTACAGGGTAGTGGCAGAAGAGATGACAGCATGCCATGTTTATGTGACTCATTTTTCTGGGTGTCTTTCCTGTAGAAAAGAAAGCACCTCAGTATTGTATATGAGCCAAAGGGACTCAAGCCAACTTGAACATGGGAAACATGGCTCTGGCAGGCCTCAGTCTTCTCTCCCATTCCCTCTTCCTTGCCCCAAACCACTAGATTAGGTTCCTAAAGCTAGCCACTGAGGTTTGCTCCCTCATTTGGCCACTTCCTCCTCCTGAGGCTGACTACCATGAGCCAGCTATCAAAGTATTGAAATTCAGCAATCATAAAGCCCCCTTTGGCTCACCTAATTAACATGCCAAAATACAGTCGAACACCTCCTAACACAAGGTTTCCTCTTTCACATTTATAAACCATCGTCTTTCTATTAACCACATCTGTCTCTTCTCTATCTAGAGGCAGTCCTTTGTCCCCCAAGACAAATGTCCCTGCCCCCTCTCCCTTGATCCCTTCCCCTTTTCCTGTGTCTTCTACCTTCTGTCTTTGTCTCTTATTCCCTGCCCATTGTTGCTCTGGGGCAAACTGAATAAATCTCCTTTGTGCTGAGAACTTAGTCTTGGGGCCCCTGAGCTGACACCAATCCTTTCAGGAAGTTGAGCATCTGTACACCAGGGATTGCTGTACAGGCTCAGGTTTAAAGAACACAAGCAAAATGTGTGCACTGGAATAGGGACACTGTATAACAAACACATTTGTGTGATAGTCTATTCCATTAACACACAAAGACATAGTGTGTCAATTTATGTCTTAGCTGTAGATGGACTTGTCCTTAGTGTCCCAGAATGATGTGCTTTGAGATAATATACATTTCCAAATAGAATATAATAAGGCTGGGGGAAGCAAGCAGTATAAGGAGCACACACAGACAGCTGTGGCTGTGACAGGCTCATCAGTCATTGAACTTCTGGTGTGTTCGTTGATTTGACCAGCAGGTGGCTCCTCAGCTAGTCTTCTATCTCCTTTACCCAGGTTCCAAGCTTCAAGCTACGTTCTCATAATTCCAGAGCTCTTGTCCTTGAAATCACAACTATCAAAATATTTTTCTTGAACTTGTTAAAGTGCTTGAGAATAGAGGAGTTCTAAGGAGGTAGTGACAGCCTCTGTAAGGCAGTTGAGATTTCAGGACAGTGCCAGCCAGTCATTTGTTGTCTGCTGATAGGCATTATTGAGGTCACAGAGACATTCCAGGGAAGCATGTTCAGAACGGGAAGTTTTTAACAGACCCCTCTTCTTTTCCCAGTAAGGATGAATACCTTACTATTCTCCCAGCAGGAACCCTCCGGGAGGGCTTGGTGCTGGTTTCCTTTGGAGGATCCCAATACATTGAAAAGAACTTAAGAGTATTTTTCTGGGGAAATGCCCAACTCTGTATGGACAAGTTAGGCTTAGTCAGGTCCTGTGACTCCAGGACCTCTACCACTAAACTTTGCTCAAACAAGGCTATAGTATTCTTTATAGCATAGTACACAGCAAAATTCTTTATTCTGAGAAGGTACTTGCAGACTATCATTTAGCCTTCCTTGTGTTGGAGATTGAGCCCCTTGTAGTGAGTAAATCCCACTGCTTGTCACACTTTTTATGATGACAAATTTTGGGGATGTTGAGCTCCATAACTGTGTTGAGTGCTTTGCTCATTGACCTTCCCAATGAATTCTTTCCAAGTACTAGGCTACTGGTTATCCTGCTGTAATGCAAAACTATGTGACCTTTAGTTTCATTTAAAAGGCTTTAAAAATGATGGTTGTGTCAATATCTGTGTTTTTTAATTTCACCCTATTATGGTATCTGAGATGTACCTTTGAAATTGATGCAAGCAATCTTAATTTATGTTTTGTATCACGATGTATTAAAATTGTGGTTTACTGGACCGGATTTCAATGTGCACATTTTTGAAGGTATATGGCTCCTGAAATGCTTGATGACACAATGAATGTGAGCATCTTTGAGTCCTTCAAGCGAGCTGACATCTATTCTGTGGGGCTGGTTTACTGGGAAATTGCTCGAAGGTGTTCGGTTGGAGGTAAGGTTCTGGAAATATCCTTTAGTCCCCCTTTCCTTGACACTGAGTACAAAATGTGATTTTCTAAAATTTCCCCTTGGGATACTGGGTTGTGTCTGAATAGTTAAGAGAATTCCATTCAGTGATTTCTTTATGGGGACAAAAGTGGAATATCCTATGGAGAGTGGGGCCTTTCTTCTGATCACCCTTCTTAGATGTTGGTGACAGTTATGATCATTCTGGTGCCTGTAATGATTGGTTTGAATCACTAGAAAATTGTCTGATTAGAGTTGGCAAGCAGCTGGTATCCCTACTCTTATCCCAGAGAAGCTAAGTGACTTGCTAAAGTGGTAGGACCACCAGCCTTCCTTTCCTCAAGCCTTTCTCTCTCGTGTGATACAAATAGAGGGACAACACAGGGGTGGGGTAAGGGGGAGTGGGGAAGTGAGTGACAGCTCGGCTCTTGCCCTCTACTGCTCTCAGTAGCTTAGAAATTGGTAAGGGAAGCCCTGCTAATGCACTCTAATGAGATTGCTGCATCAGTGGAGAAAAAAGTTAAATGTTCATATAAAGCAGTTTATTGATTAGTCTTTTGTGAGACACACTTAGGATGAAGCCTCGGTTTAGCAATGTGTGTGTGTGTGTGTGTGTGTGTGTGTATATACAGAGCTCATGTGCAGGTCAGAGAACAGCTTGTGAGACTGGATTTTCTCTTTCTGCACCGTGAGATCTGGAGATTAGATCACTTTGTCAGGCTTGGAAGCATTGCCTCATCGGCTGAGCCAGCTCCCTAAAGATTTCAAAACCCAAAATGCTGTTTTGATAAATATACTTTATTTACAGTGCATTGATGTCATGTTATAAATATGGCCGTTAGGATTATTTTTGAACCATATGATGACAATAGATGAAAATAAAAGTCATAACAATTTTATTAGAGACATATGTGCCTTATTTTGTATTGTTAAAAAATTATATACATGTCTTTACTCAAGATTTTATGTTTTTATATTTACATTAATTGCATTTTATAATGTTTAACATATATTACAAAACATCATAAGTATTCAGCTGAGTGTTTTGAACTGTATCCTGTTTTATAGTGATATATTATTTTTTTAAAGATTTATTTATTATATACACAATCTTCTGCCTGAATGGTATCCCTGCATGCCAGAAGAGGGCACCAGATGTCATTACAAATGGTTGTGAGTCACCATGTGGTTGCTGGGAATTGAACTCAAGACCTCTGGAAGAACAGGCATATCTTAACAAAAGTGAGATTCCTCTTTTCCAGGATATCAAGTGTGCCTGGCAGCACCAAGCAAATGAGTTTGAAATACACGTCATTATTGATTATATATGTAGGAAAGCTTACTTTTCAAATTTCTTATAGGAATGGTTGAGGAGTACCAGTTGCCTTATTATGACATGGTGCCTTCAGATCCTTCGATAGAAGACATGAGGAAGGTTGTTTGTGACCAGAAGTTCCGACCAAATATCCCAAACCAGTGGCAAAGCTGTGAAGTAAGGGTATTATGTTCCCTCTTCTGCATTCTCCTCTTCCTTCCTCTCCCCCTCCCTCCTTCTTCCTCCTCTTCCCTCCCCTTCCTACGTCTTCCTCCCTCCTCTTCCCCCCTCTCCCTCTTCCTCCTTCCTCTTTTTCATCCACTGGAGATAAACACAAGCTATGTTCTTTCTACTTTACGCTTCAGATTATTATCAGTGAAGATTTTCAGAGTATGTAGTTCTTTCTTAACACAGTTGCTTAATTCATTCTATATAATGAGGGTTGCCTTTCTCATGCCTGTAGAGGGATTTTATTCTCTTTAGCAGTATGAGTCCATGACACGAACCCCTGAAAACTTGGAGACTTCTGACAATAGGGCTTCAGTGCTTCTCTGAAGTCCTCTGTGGCTTAAGTGATACAGTCTCTGACACATCATCACTGAGGCAGCTCAATAGGCAGTCTCACTGCTCTTTGACGCCACCCTCCCCATGTAGGTTCCAGGTCTCTATATCTCGCAATGAGAGGAAACACATGTGTACACACTGGCTTTTCAGTGTTTGGCACTTATGCCTCATAGAACCGGTCACATGGTCCCACCACACTTCAAGGGGCTGGGAACTGAAGCACATGGGCAAAACCAATGGCTCATTAATATAGTACTCCGTAACTTATGCCTAATCTCTAGCTGCCCGAAGCTTAACCTTCCTCATCAGAAAAGCCTCCTTCCCACATTAGATCCAGTTGTCATCTGCCTTGTCGTCCTAGGCAATACAGGAATGTAACCAAAGCATGGTAGACATGCAGTCGGCAGAACTTATTCTGCCTCCCATAAGCGCTGACAGAGGGAGGAAAGGCGGCGATATTCTCCTATTATGTGTTTCAGCCTTCCCTTCTAATCACTACTGCTTATTTTATGCTTTTATTTGAATATAATAAATAAGGCCATTTTTGTTTTGTTATAGGATTTTTTTTATACAGTTGCCTTTTTACTCCATTTGTTTCCCTCTTCCATGATTTCAGCTCTTTTGTTTCAGGCAAGTCTTACTATTTTTGTTTTTCATGGAGTTATCTCATCTCCGTTATTTGAGAAGCAGGCTTTTAGGCTTGTATAATGTAACTGAAACAATTAATTTCTCTAATATCATTTGTTTCGTTGTTTTTTTTTCTTTTCAAGACAAAATTTCTCAGTGTAGCCTTGGCTGTCCTGGAACTTACTCTGTAGACTAGGCTGGCCTCTGCCTCACTCTCTCTGATATTGAAGGCCTGTGCCACCACACCCAGCTATTGTCAGTTTTAAGCACATGCACATGGGTATATAAACTGGTAAATTTTAAAATAAAATAGTTAAGTGAAAACTTGTGACCACACAGTCTGAAAAGCAGGACATTCTGAAATTTTTGATGAATTTTTTCTGCCTTGCTAACTCTTTAATATTAATATTAATGATTTATTATTTCCTGCTTTTATTTATATTTTGTTGTATGTGTGTAGCTTGAAAAATACTTGCATTTGTGTATTTATGAAAATTAAGAGTAAAACTTATTACAATATGCTTTTCAATTTTTTATCATATATATGAGAAATTTGTTCATTTTCATTGCTATGTGGATATAAGAGAATTTGTCTATTATAGTATTGGTTATCATATGTGATTTATAGTTAGCATTATTAAAAATGATTTACATGTACTAGTAAATTTGATTCATGCTGTGACAGAATACTTGACAAAAAGAACTCAAAGAAGGGATGGCTAGTTATAGCTCAAGTTTGAAGGTGTCATGGTGGTGTAAAGGAAGAATGAGGAAATGAGGCAGCTGGCTTCATGGTGACTTAGTTTTTTTCCTTTTGCTGTGAGGAGACAGCATGACCAAGGCAACATAAAAAAGAAAGCATTTAATTGTGGTCTTATGATCCCAGAGGATTAGGGTCCATGACCGTCATGGTGGGATACATGGCAACAGACAGGCAGAATTCAGTTCTCAGCAATCATATAGTAGCTCACAGTTGTCTGTAACTGCAGCTCAAGGGGATCTGAAGCATTTTTCTGACACACACACACACACACACACACACACACACACACACACTTAAAAAATCTAAAAAGAGAGTTGCCCACCATAGTATACAAACATATATGTTCAAAAGTTTGGAAGGTATGCAGCTCTTTATTCTTTTATGATATCCACTTACACAGGCACAGCTCTCTGTTCATGCTTTCTTACTGTGGTTCTGGGATCTCTGATATAATGTTACTTGGAGGTGGCAGTGAGCAATGCTTTTGCTCCTTAAAACCTTATTATTTTACTCTCGAATGTACCAACAGCTCCATGCTTTCTTTTTTAGGTTAAGTAAGAATGAACTTTGATCTTAACAAAGTTTTGCTCCTTTTCTACTTTAAATTTGTTTTATTTTTATGTCAATGGATATTTGGCCCGCATGTATGTATGCATACCATGTGCATGGCTGGTGGTCAGGGAAGTGAAAAGGTGGCTTTGGATTCCTGGAGTCATGGGTGGCTGTGAGTCACCATGTGGGCATTTGGAATGAAACTCAAGTCCTGTGCAAGAGAAACAAGTGCACTTAACAGCTACACCTTCTCTCCAGCCACTCTAACAGCTTTTAAGAACTTCCCTCTTTACTACTCTGCAATTTCTCTAGGCCTCATGGCCAACCTTTTTGTTTGTAGGTGTTTTACGTTTTTTGAAGGAAGCTCTCATTACGTAGCTCAAACTTGTAGGAATCCTCCTGCCTTAGCCTCTCAGTGCTGGCATCACAGAGCGTACCACCAAATTCAGCTTTGTGGTTAAGCTTGTTTGGGTCAAAGGCTGTTCTAATTCTATTGATTTGTAACATTCCTTTGTTATAGAAAAGTTCGTGATAATACGTCTTCAGATAATTCTTCTCTCATCGTCTTCTTTTCTATTTTTGGAAAGCTCATTGGCTGCTATCAAACCTTTCAGATTTTACTTTGCTTCACAGGTATTTCCCATGTTGGCACCTGTATTCTTAATCCCTTAGATTTCATTTCCACTTCTCTATTTCTGCCTCAGATATGTCTAAGCTGCCATTTAACTTACCTACTGGATTTTGTATTTTCATACCAAGAACTTTTACTGGTTCTGAAAGTGTTGTCCCCCCGCCCCAGGCTGTTCAAGTTTTATTTCTCTTTTAATGCCCATTTCTTATCATAACAGATGTTTTATGGATCTGATTCTGTTGGTTATTGCTTTGATTAATTTTTGCTTATTGATGTCCCTCCCCATCTATAAGTGTGGAATTTCATTATGAGTTCAGGTTTACTGAAAAAACTTGGGCAGATTTTTTTCTTCACCCAAAGTCAAAGTAAGTGGTTTTCTTTTTTGGGGAAGAGTCATCTACAAACATTTATTTTATTATTTTTTTTCTTATATGTAAGTGGGAATTCATGCATGCACCAGGGCACACTCACCAGAGGCCAAAGGACAACCTTCAGGAGTCAAATTTTCTCTTTCTACCATGTGGGTCCCAAGATCAAACTCAGGGTCCCAGGCTTGGGTGCAAGTGCCTTTACTTGCTGAACCATCTTATCAGCTCAGGATTCATGTTTACCTTCAGGACCTTTTAAGTGTTTTCTTTGCTTTCCTATCTTTCACATGTGGTCCTCATCTCTGATTTTCTAGAACAGAATATGAGCATTTGCCCCTGGAGCTCCCCCAGCTGCAGTGACTCCCTGGGTCTCTCATGTTTCGTGCTTTTACATTGATTGTTCCTCTAAGAGTACTCCCTTATTTAGGGTTTCTACTACTGTGAAGAGACACCATGATCAGGCCAACTTGTATAAAGGAAAACATTTAGTTGTGGCTGTCTTACAGTTTCAGAGGTTAAGTCCATTATCATCATAACCATGGTGAGACGTGGGGTGTGCAGACAGACACGGTGCTGGAGAAGGAGCTGAGAGTTCCACATCTTGATCTTCAGGCAACAGAAAGTAAACTGTCTCCCACTGGGCATAACTTGAGCATATGTGAGATGACAAAACCTGTCTCCACAGTACACACTTCCTCCAACAAGACCACACCTCCTAACAGTGCCACTCACTACAGGCCAAACCCTCAAACACATGAGTCTCTGGTGGCTACACCACCACAGTACCTGACTTCTTCCTTTGACAGTTCATTTATACTGACTTTTTGTATTTATCCTCACATCATAATTTGCAACATGCAGTTATGAGTGGTAAAAGTCTAAATCTTAGTTTTCAGCTTGATGACTCTTTTCATGTGTGTGAACATGTAATAAAGTGTAACTGGGAATTCACGCCATGACGCCTCATGTCGCTGTTAGTTGTATTTTCCTTGACGGGTTCTCATCTAGCTGGCCTGGCTTTGAATTCCTGCTGCTTCTGACTCTTACTCCCAAATACTGCCACCGTGAGCTCGCACCACAGCACTTAGTTATCATTGCCCTTCTTAGGGGAGTTGGAAAATAGCCATCACTGTGTCTCAGAATCAATGATTTCATTTAAGCTAGTCTTTACAAGGTTAATGCTTGTGCCTTTTAAAAAGATTTTACAGAAGTTTGGCTCCATTTCCTCAATGACCCCTTGATTTTTGATTTCACTTCTTTTGTACTTGGCTGATGCACCTTTAACCCTTTGGTGTCTTTCTCTCCTGAAGGCACTCAGGGTCATGGGAAGAATCATGCGTGAGTGCTGGTACGCCAATGGAGCAGCCCGCCTGACAGCCCTGCGAGTGAAAAAGACCATTTCTCAGCTGTGTGTCAAGGAAGACTGCAAAGCCTAATACCAACAGGCAAAAAGAACTTCTCCCAGCTTCCGTCTGTGTCTCCTGCTTTGTGTAAAAGTTTTTGCGTCTTTTTGCTGTGTCTTGTTTTAGTTCTACCTCAATGATGACTCACTACAGTGTTTAAGTGTCCCAAAAGGCAGCATGAAAAGACAACTTTAGAGTTAAGCATGGGCAGGCCTTGACTTTTCCAATCTCCATGTTGTCATTAATTTTATTTTTAAAGGTGACACAACTCATTCTTTTTATTTAAGGAGGAAGATGTTATGAATGTAAAATAAGCTACATAAAATAGTAAAAAACAATCAAATTTTTGTTTACTTGAAACAAGAGCACACACAAATGAGATGAAAACATGCTAAAAATGTGAACTAGGGCATAATATAGGGAACTAGAACTTTAGAAATTATCTGGACCCTTGAAAGGTAACTTTTGCTCAGAATTTTAGTGTCTAAAGCTTGAAACAGTGAAGATCTTCAGCGGGCTTTGAGAGTGCGATCATCTTCTCCATGCTCACTCTCTCCTCCCTGCTCGACATTCTCTTCACTACTACAGCAGTCCCCAAGTATTTAGAAAGCCACCTGAGCCATTGCTTCTGATCTATAAAAGAAGTCTCTGACGTCTTGAACACTGTGAAATGTCCAGAGTCACAGAGCTCATGCCAGAGATGGTAACCCTTGTGACAATGAACATTGTGAAGTTAGCTGAACCACTGCATTCCCCTCAATTCCCATAGTGCTTTTCTTCCTAAGCGGGAGCATCTTAACTTCTGGCATTTTAAATTTAGTCATATAGAGACTGTATTGTGTATTTTGTGATACCATAATGGACCTACTAAAATCTCATAACCAATCTGCTAGCATTTCCTCTTAAAATGTCATTGTTATCCCATCCATTAATGAGGAAAGGTTTTCTGAACATTGCCAAAGATTGACCACTTATAAACATACATTGTCTAGAGATGTAGGTTTTAAGACATAATTACTCTGTGGGTACATATTTGGGAAGAAAATGACAGGAAGATAAACAAGGAAAGATACTGAGAAATGTTAAGAGAACTCTCCAGAAGAGTTTAACCATTGACATGCACAGAGAGGTCCACACTGGTTATTAGAAGACATTCCTGACCTTTTAAGAGGAACTGTACATGGAGAGTTTGGAGGCTCTGGCCCTATTCTCCTTTTCCGACATATGAAATATTTAACAGGACACCAGATATTTCATACAAATATACTTTAGTGAAGTTGATTTAACACGATGTCTTTCAGTGTTCCCAAACTCCATTCCTCAGAACGCTCTGCTGCCTTGACATATTCTCTGGTAGCATCTTGAAGAGCGATGCTGCACACACTAGCACATCCTATTCTTTGAAGGTTCTGGCAGTAAAAACACATTTTTAAAGCCAAATATTGGATCAAATATAGTGTAATCCTTTCATTATAGATGCACTTTTACTATCCAACCTTTAGATGTTCTGTTAAGTATAACACAGGGAGTAACATTCCGAAGGGTTCACTGAAGTTTTCCACAAGAATACAATTTCATGTGTACATTTCGCTGTGGCAATATGCTACTGGATCCATTTCATTTGACTAGGTTGAGATAAGAGAAACAAAATGCCTTGATGACTATGGGGTTTGCCTATATTTCCATTCTCAGTCATACATTCATCCATTTGTAAGCACAGAGCACCCCGTAACTCACTTGCCACAATATTGGGTACAAGAGGGAATAAAAAAATAGATAGGTCCTGCCCTCAGGGATTTTAAAGTCTAATTTGGGAGTGGGAAAAAGCATATGAGTATGAGGGAAGCAAGTAAATTGACAGATAAAATATGCAGTGGGATGTCTTGAGTTCTGGGTGACAATGCGTTCTGGAATAGGTTTTAAAAATCACTTGCAATTTGCAGCACATTTAGAAAGTATCTTTATTTAGATATTACAGTCTAATTATATTATCAGTATCAAAAAGGTGTGCCTATGTGAATGGATATTAAAAAGAACTGTGGGGAGGGGTGATCTGGCTTGTGTGTATCTCTTATTTCACACAGTTTCTGCATGAAGGGAATGAAATTATTTACTTAGAAGACTTTATTCAAGTCTTCAATAAAAAACCCTAATATATCCTGTTCTATTTACCACAGCTTTGTGACTATACTTACTATATTTTTAAAGAGAGGGTGTTTTAGCATCTTTATTTTTGTCATTATGTTCTATAATTTATTTGAGAGTATACAAATGTAGCTTACATTTTATTGATTCAGATTTCACTGTGGAGAAATCTGCACATTGGTATGTTTTGAAACATTTTGATTGTTCTTCTCTTGTCGGACTGTAATTCCTACGTGAATAATCTTAAGGGACAGAGCAACAAAAGTATAAGGGAAACAACAGAAATTGTAGTTTTTCCTTAACTCTCAACACAATTATACATAGAAACTGCTCACTTATAAAAATAGAGTAACATCTAGAAAATAAGGCAGATTTCCTGTACATACCTATGCAGCTCAGTTTTATACTATGTGTTTTTAATGGAATGTCATGTAATACTTGTTTCTTTTAAATATTGTTGTGAGCAAAAATACCTTCTTAGGCTAGGTGCACAGTGACATCATTGTTTTGCTCCATATGGATATTTTGGCTCTGGGTATAGCATAGAGCTTAGGAATGCTATTATGAATTTTAGCACTGTATGCAGAAGTGATGGGATTTATACACATTATCACTTCTTGAAGTATGATAAGCATTATTTGTTGTCGACATTTGAGCATGAATTTGTTGCCTTATAAGTCGTGTGTTTAAGTTTGTAATCAGTACCAATTCTGTTGTATGCATTCTTCCGTGTCTAAATTATTTGGCATGTCACATCTAGAATTCCTAATTTATGTTCTGCCTTGAGAGTTAAGTGAAACATGACTGTCGTACTCTATTTTAAGCATAGCACTTGCTTTTCATCTTTATACTTTCAATTAACTTTGCATTTTAAATTTCCGTAATTGTATGAAAATAGTAACCTGATTGCAGTGTCTGAAGAATTTAAAATCAGTTTTTATTTTAAAATGAAAAATCTACAATACATTCATTAGATCAGAAGTTTCTACAATAACCTATCATTTTGAATGTTTCTATTATTGCAGAATGATGAAACAAAAGAGAAGTCTACTGTCCTGGAATTTATTATGGCAGAGCAAACTCAGGGCAATCTTGGAGTCTAAGCAAAAGTCCTAGGGAACTACTTAATACATTGCCTGCAGGCTGGGAGTGGGACATCTGCCATCATACAAAGATCAAGGACCAACTTAAAATCACTTGACTGACAGGGCATAGTTTTTGAATGACTCTTGAAAGTAAACATGAAATCTTACGTGGCTAAAGAAATTCATTTAAAATATGGAAAATTTGATTTTCTATTAAGCAGTTAGGGAACAATAGTAAATGTATCAAAATGGCTAGCTGAGGTCTTCAATAATCATTTCCTTTATATAACTTTAAAACCAACATTGACTAATTACATAGAAATGTTGATGCTTAGTGTCCTAAAATGATGTCACTGTAGTTTTTAAAGCTATTATCTTTTTTGTTTGTGAAATGTAATACTTCAATAGCTAGTAACACTGTGTCCTAGTTTCAACTGCTGATACTCAATTGGATTTTATTCACTATCTCGGTGAAATCGGTCAAAATTTTAAGGGCTTTTAGTTTTTTTTCAGAATTCATTAAAACTAAACCAAAAAAATCTAGAATGCAAAACATTCATTAAGAACCTAATATTACACAGAATTTCTATAGTGTACAAATTCTTTTCAAAGAACTCTAATGCAAACTTGGAGGTGCTTGGCTTTCTTTTTGCCCTCTAAATTTTCTTTGTTTCATTATTTTATACTTACTTTAAAATTTAATGTTCTTTCACCATCTTCCAAAATTATAGTTCCTTCTTAATTATTTTTAAGCATAGCTATTATTTAACTTAATCATCATAGAAATTTATATTTGTGATGGAAAAGAAATCCCTTAGTGATCAAATTATGTCATATGTGCCACAGTGCAAAATGAAAATGAAAATTTGAAGGTGACTCTGAGCCTCATAACTTGACTCCAGTATTTTGTAGATGAAGAAACTGAAGATCAGACATAGGATGTCTGCCAATTATCATAAAACGTGGTGGTGATGCCTACTTCTGCAGCCTCCCCAACTTTTACAAATTGAAAATTTAATCAGCGTGTATCTAAATCCGCAGCACATGTATATTAACATAATACGTCACTCAGTACTGATGGTCAAATCCTACTTCTTTGTGCATTTCCACTAAAATAAGTTTCTCAGATCTAAGTCGGTAGGAAAGGTGAAAATAGGCCAAAACAAGGGTTTTAAAAATAGTCATCAAGCTCCATAGACAAGCCCTGGAGTGCTGATAAAATTGAAAATCCAACTGAAGAAGGACAAGCATAAACCCATCTGAAGATGCAGATGGGTAGCTGAGGGCTTGATGAGCATGTGCAAGGATCTGAGTTGTGTCCTCAACACTGAAATGAGGAAGACAAGAAAGGAAGAGAAGGAGGGAAAAGAAAAGAAAATATTCTTAGTGTGAGACACGATTAGAGAAGTTTCTAGTCTCTGCCCCCTGCTTCCTTCCTACATCCATTGGTCGTCTTCCTTATGATTTGGTACATGAACTGGGGGCTGTAGTTAGTGTCATTTATCTGTTCTTTCTCTCGCATTAACTTTGCCTTTGGTGTTGTTTTTCCCCAGTGGCAGATTTCCTAAAACCTGAATCACTCCACAGCTCTGTCCTTTTGTGTATATGAGCACTGTCCAGATTGTCACACATTGAACTTCTTAACAAGGTTTTAATTTCCCCACTGTGTGTAAGAGGTTTCGCCTCATCAATTCACTGGTGATTATTCTCTTGGCACTGGAAAGAGGGCTTTGTTAATGGCAGGCATGACTTTCTCTTAAACTTTAGTCAGACTGTGTGGTTATATTCTAGCTTTTAGCTAAGGCATACAGAATGCCTGCTTCTGCTTTAATGGTGAATTTTGCTTGAGCAATGACTTGAACAGAGACTGTGAAATACATGTTGCATAATGTGAGTGCTCAATTTACTTCTGTGATAATTGGTGTCACCTGTTTTACGTCTGCCATCCTCTCAGAATTTTAATTTATTTATTTTTGTGTGTTATAGGTAGTTTGGTTGAATGTGTGTCTGTTCACCATGTGTATTCCCAGTGCTTGGAGAAGCCAGAAGAAAGAGCCTGGTCCCCTGGAGCTAGAATTACATGTAGTTGTAAGATGCCACATGGGTGCTGGAAACCAAACTTTGGTTCTTTGGAAGAGCAGCCAGTACTCTTAACTGCTAATCTATCTCTAGTCCCATGTTTTTAGACTAAGACATGTGCCATGCTCTGTAGACTATAGATTATACTGGAATTAGGTAACAATCTCCACTTTAAATTTTGTTATTGATAACTGCCAGGATTTTTCCCAGTTAGTTGTAAATGCACATAACATTTATGAGAAAGTGAATTCCAGTTCATCCTCATTTTAATACTCCAGAAATGCATTTTCTCCTTGGTGGTCTATTTTAAACCACAAAAGTGTCTTTCTGTACCCAGTACTTTCAGTGGAACACTTACTGCCATCCTAGGCTTAGGAATCTGACTATTATCACATCTACTAAGATCCTGGGTGTGGTAGAAAATTCATCTCCTTCCAGCATCCCACATATGAATTCTCCATAGGGAATTCACAGCCTAGGCCAGCTGAGAACAGAGGCGAACTCTTCAATGGGCTCTTTCCTCTAACATAATTCTGCGACTTACAGAAAAGGACATACTGCATTTCTGTATCAACATAAAATGCCTGTATTATCTATCATTAAGAAGTGGAAGCTGCATTTAAAAATGATTCTTGACATATGCAAACTGGACACATAATTTAGAGGAATAAATACTTTGCCTCCTCATCTCAGTATTCTCAAGAATGAATGGAGCAGAATGTTTATCCTACTGATAGATTTTCTCCCCACTCCAGATCATCTGCAGCAAGGCTCAGGGGCCTTGATTTCTAGCCATCCATTGAGTTTTCATTTGGTAGATGAATCTATTCATTTGCTTCTCCTGTGAGGCTTGTATGTCAGGCTCAAAGAAAGTCAAGCATAGACAGAGATTTACCAATATTCTCACTTTTCACTGGCAAAATGGTAGTAACTTAGCATTTTTAAAGATCTAGCAGTTTTCATTTCTCTTTATCAAATGAGAGTATCTGAGTAAAATATTAGACTTAGCTCATCTCTAGAGTGACATGTCAAGTCGTGTACTCTCCTGACCCTAGATTGGGTGAGATTTTTTACACTTGATTTGTGTTTCAGGTTTTAAAATGGCCTAAAAAGAGAAAATTAGATTCAGATCTTTAAAAAAGGGATTTTGGATTGATTTTCAGAGCACTAATACTAATTATACTTTTCTTTGGGTAGTGTGACTCCTCTTATATCTAAGAACATATTACACATGTCAAAACCATTGCCTTTGACATTACAAAAACATGCCTTGAACTCTTGAACTACTGTGAACAGACCCATTGTTGCAGAGACCTTTTTTGTAAGTTAGCTGGCATGCTTAAGTATGTAAAAAGCTGTCGCTTTCCATAGACAGGCTCAAATGAACGTATATAAGGACTGTGAAAAAAATAAACTGGGTTTTAAAATAAGAACTGGGTGATAAATTGTATCCAAAATGTGCAGATGGGAATTGTAGTGTGTAGCTGTGTTTTCATTGTTGAAGGTTGAACAGAGTTCCACAGAGTCATGGATGACATTCAGATGTTTCATGAATTTCGAATCTGTGAACATATGCATTTTATAGTAATATATACTTACATTGTTTAGAAATAATCATATTTTAGATTTTAGTAAGAACTCAGTGATAGCCTTCATACCAAAATGTTTAACTTTGCCAACAGCAAGTCATAAAAGTATTTATTTTAAAGCTTTTTAATATTACTGCCTAACTTCCTGCGGCCTCCAGGTGTACATACTTCTCTGCCTAAATGTTATATTTTTATGTATGCATTTTCGGAAAGCATATTGTTTTGTAAAGTGGCAAAGACAATAAATTAAGCACTCCTTGCACTTGTTTCTGTAAAGCATAAAGAACTCTATTTTAAATAAAAGAAAATGTGTCATATGTTGGTGTCCATGTGCTCATATTCTATTTCACAACTGTGTTTATATTTGTATGGAGAGTGCAGACAGGGTACTGGGGATGAGTATTGGGTTCTGGTATCACTGGAATATCCCCCTCCCTTTTTTCCTTCGTTCCCAGCAAGTTATATAGAATTCCAGGATTTCAAAGCCAGAAGACACACTTACTTAAAGCTGTTTTTCTGAATGACATTTAGGATAATATGTTCTTAAGGGTTTTATCTTTTCAATATTTTGCATTAATTTTTCCCAGTTTTTAATTTTATGTGATGTTTTGCCTACATGTATATATGTGCACGAAGCACTTGCAGTTTTCACAGAGGCCAAAAAAGAGGGTTACATCCTCTGGAACTGGAGGTTCAGATGGTTGTGAGTCACCACGTGGAAGTTGGGAATTGAACCCAGAGCTTCTGGAAAAGAAGTCAGGGCTCTTAACCGATGAGTCATCTCTTCATATCCCTGGCCCATTTTTTAAAACATAACTTTTCGAAGAACTACCAGCTTGACCTACTCTCAAGCCTAAATGAGCTTCTGTCACACCTAAAAATCACAACCACAAGTCATTGACGAGCCTCTCTAACAGATGGAATAAGCACTTAGTGTTCACTTCTGCTGTCTTCACCTTCATTTCCAGACTTTGGCTTCTTGTTGTTCCTTGGACTTTTCAAACATATACCCGCCCTAGGTGATTGCCTGGAATATCTTTTCCCTAGATGTGTATGCGCTGCGGGTGCCAGGCAGGGTGCCAGCTTTCCTGTGCTCCCTTCATCATCCTTCGTGAGCTTTGCCCTCCTTCCCTTTTCTCTTTATGGCATTTAGCAGTAGTTGGCTTTATTGGTTTGGGTATTTGAAGATTGTGTGTGTGTGTGTGTGTATGTGTGTGTGTGTGTGTGTGTGTGTGTGTGTGTGTTTGAGACAGGTTTCTCTGTGTATCCCTGGTTGTCCTGGAACTTGCTTTGTAGACCAGGCTATCCTCAAACTCACAGAGTTCTGCCTGCCTTTGCCTCCTGAGTGCTGGGATTAAAGGTGTGCACCACCACACTGGGTGAAGATACAGTTTTAAAACCTAAAGAGCAGTGCATTGTTTGCTCACTGAGACCTTGTTATCCCCAGCTGTCTGCAATAACTTGGAGAACATTGTACCTTAACTAATGATGATTATTTGGGAGCAATATCACAATTTTGATGCTATGCAAAAGAGGCAGAATACTATGTTGGCTTTACTCTTGGAAAAAGTCCAGAAATTCTTTTACTTCTTTTTAATTTTCTTGTGGGGGAAATAGCTTTGTTAATAAGCACCACAGTGATTTTGTATTAAATTAGTACTAAACAGATTATTATTTTAAAACAACTCTCATTCTATTTACTTACATATTAAAAGAACTTGCAAATAAAAAACCAAAATGAACCAAACAAAAAACAATCACACACCAAAATCAATGAGACCCAAAGTCTATATAACTCAATGAAATTCTCTAAGCTTAGAGTGGTCAATCTGAATCTGGAGAACTTCTTGGTAGATTTGCACTTTCATTGACCTGGACCAGCAGGTGTTTCTTCGGCACTATGTTCCTGAGAGGGAGGACTAGGAGATGAGAAAAACAATGAAGATAGGAACACTGTGGTCAGGATGTCTTGTACTGTCTAGCAAGTATATCAAGAAGGACAGTATCTTAGATACAGTTTTCAGGGCAGGAAGAACGGAACAGTCAGCAGAAAACTGTAACACGGTGGGACAAAGTCAGCAGGAGGCTGACCAAGCAATGCTGCTCAAAGAGAATATGGGAAATTTTAAGTGCTCCACAGGATGAGTGCTCCCAGATCCTCAAGTGCTGGCCTTGAGACTAATAACCAATGGAGGAAGTGAGGGCAGGGGGGGGGTGAGTTCCTGGCATACCAAACTGTAACTTCTTCTCAAGGGCCTTCCCTATGGCCATTGCTAGCCTTGACAAGCTAATTCCTTCGCTACATATAAGGACCTCAGGGAGAGTCTCAGTTGGGTCTGGCCCCCAACATTCCGCTGTCAAATAAAATTTTTATGCAGTTACTCTCCACAAAAAAATGAAATACTTTTGATATAAGGTTTCACTATGTATCTTAGGCTGGCCTTGAATGCCCCGTGTTGCCCCAAAAGTGACAGCAATCCACTAGCCTCAACCCTCCAAGTGCTTGGATAATAGATAGGGTCCATAATGCTAGGTAGATACCTTTGATTAACAACCCTTTAGTAAATTCTGGACTGGTTTCAGTACTGGCTGTGTCTTGTGATTGTAGAGAAAGGCAAGTTACTTACTTTAGTTTATATCAACGGTGATGAATGTGAAATAATTTAAATGAGTTTGTTTCTGAAGTCTGGTTGTGACTTTTGTTTTCTCAGGCCATCAGTTTTCAATTTCAGTGTCTTAAGTTTTAAACAAAAATTTGTGGAAATTTATGCTAATGAAGTAGTTTACCTAGGTCACAAACTTGAAATTGTTTACACGCTTTTTCCCCCATTTGGATACATTTCTAGGTGCTGGGGGGGATTGACCCTAAACCTAGACAGGAAGTAAGATTTTCCAAAGGGCTACTTGACTTCTAGGGGCAATAATTGTTCTGAAAATTATTAAAGTTTTTATTTCATAGCTTCCCTAAAGTCTGTTTAATTACAAAGGTTTTTCATATACCCCATGGTTGGTTATACCATTATATCTAACAACATTATAATTGTGATCACTCTGTAATTAAAATATTTTATAATTATTTTCTTATCATCTCTCAGTCAATAAATCTTTATCAGATTGTTAAATACACAGCGTTGTAAGAGTTATCATCTGTGATATTTCAATTCTGACTGACAAATAACGTATGTGCCACTTAGAAAGACCACCCAGGGAAGTATATATTTTTCTGTGTATTATGTAACCTGAAAATGATATAACACCCACAAGAGACACCAAGCAAACATTTCTTTAAAGAGAGTGGTTTTCAAGAACTTTCAGAGTAAATTAAATAAGTCTAAAGTCTTGAAGTGGCAATAAATATTTAATAGCAAGGAACCAGGGCTATGCATTTGAGGAGACAAGGCAGGGAACCAGAGGACAATTTCACTGTAGAGGGTAGAAACAGAGCTATCCCAATCAAACAGAATCATAAACTTGCTTGGTGTGGGTACAAATATTAAATGCCAACATCAGTGAAGATGTAGGACCTGTGTGTCAATTCAGATGGAGGATCAAGGAAGTTGACAAGCTGAAGCTTCCAGGAGAGGAAATATTTGCATGAGTCCAATGTGAGAAAACACTCCCTGATAGGAAATCCCCCAGAGGGGCAGGAATGCCATTCATGGCCCTGAGCACCCTGCATCACGATTGGATTCAATGTGGAATGATCCCCTCTTCATGCTGGATGCTGTCCTTAAGGAAGGGAGCTGAAGGTTTTCAGGCAGCACTAGTTGCATGGAGTTAGCATTTAATGCAGAACTAGTTGCATGGAGTTAGCATTTAAGGCAGAACTAGTTACATGGACTTAGTAATTAGGAAAAGCAGGTAGAAGCATTGCCTTAAGAGTCTTGTCAATGTAATACGAAGACTCCTCAGCCTCCTATATCCCTCCATGATAAATGTTTTTGGTGTTGTTGCATTGGGCAAGGATTTCAGGATGGCCTGCTGTGTCTCAGAAGCAATGCCACATAGTATCACAAGTGGGAGAAAAAGAAACGAAATAGTTCTTCTTGAATCACTTAGCACAATAAATATGACCCAGGCATTTTTAAAAAGCACGCACACACACATCACTGAAAAAGGTCTAGCTTGTCGTTCTCTCTCTGCATGAAGAAACTTTCAGGTGCCACTGAACTGTGTGCATTAAATTTCAAATATAACCAAATCAGATTTAGAACTACTAATGGCTATTCCATAGAAGAACCCTTGCTTCAGCAACTTAGGAAATTACACTTGATTTTCTTTTGAGTGTAACTCAATTGTGCTTGAAATTGTTCATTTGAACCCTTCTAAACAAGAAGCAGGTGGTTAAACGCGGTCCCTATTTAACATTTACACAAAACGTTCCCAGCACAATGCACGGTTGCTCTTTGAATGTCAGCTGCCTTTCCCCTCCCTGTCACAGCCTGTCCTTCCTTGGTCATTTCATTTGACCTTGCTATACATCCCTGAAAGGAGAATTGGCTCCAATGTAGTTACTTGCTAGGGAGTATTAGACTATTTTTATAGTCTTTCAGATAAAGCTTTTAATATGGACAAGTGCTGGTTACTGAAGCAGTTTAGGAAAAAGGAATTGCTGAGTTTGCCTTATTTTAAATGGAGAAACACAGAGTGACATAATCAGATAAAACAGTGAACCAGAATGGGGAAATACAGCCTAGGTTTTCTAGACAACAGAATCAAGGCTTTGCAAAAACTCATTTCAATCTTATGCAGCAGCATAGATCTTTGCTTTGACGAAATCCATGAGCTAGTTTGTGGAATGCACGTTTCCATAGCTCAAGTTTTCTTTTGCCAGAATACATGGGTGATGCCATAAACATCCACTGAGAAGCCGGTTGCCCTGAGGCACTTACACACTGAGAGTTTATATACAGGTAGGAAGGTGATGTTCAGAAATGTACCTATGTTGTCCTTTCTTTTCTGTAGTAGGCTTTTATGGGAGTAGGATGCATTTTCTCTCCCACTTCTCTCTACTCTTTGCCCCACTCTCTCCCATCATAGAACTCTTGCTCACTAAAGTGAAATTGCTCTTTATGCTCACTAAAGACCGTTTTATGTCTCTAAAGTCTAATGTTTGTCCAGAATTCAGCTTGACATTTCCTCTCAAGCATACCTTCTTGGTGACCTCCTTTACTTTTTTGCCTTTACCAAGCAGGAAACTCCTGAACCTCTGTGTTTGTTCCAGACTTCCCTCCTAAGCTCCAGAACTGTTGATGGGAAACCCTGCACTCACTGCAAAGTCAATAAAGGACAGCTGACTTAAATAAGAGTGACCATG